TTTTCCTTTTAGTTCTTCCCTCTTCTCCCATTGTTTCTTTCTTTGTCCTTTTTTTTTTTTTTTGGTGATTTAAAGTTGTCTGTTGTTTCCAAGACACTGTATTAATTTGTTGATTGTATGTTGATTTACTCCACACTGATTTTTTGTTTTTGTCTTGTTTTAATATATTCCGGCAACAGAGTGGATGTGTTACTCTGGTCACTAGTTCAGCAGCACTGGAGTGCTCACTGCCCGATTTCAGGCAGATTTGGTAGCAGGTTGGTGTGTGGGTGAAAATCTCTGATTGCTGATTGTGAAAAGCAGCTGATGTCAGGTTGGGCTGGTGTTGGCTGCTGTCTGTCATTGATCCAGTGATGCTGGAGTAGACGGTGGCATTCACCAAGTGGTTGGAGTGGCAGATGTTGTGGATAAATCTCAGAAGAGAGGAAGGAATGGGAAAGAAGGATGCAAGGAATGGTAAGCACAGGGAGGAAGTGGGAAGAGTGCTGCTGTTACATTGTGGACATTGTAATGAATGTCACAAAACAAACTGTGTATAAATTGTTGAATGCAAAACCAATTTGGAGAGTTATAGTTTCACATAAGACCTAGGAAAACACTTTCTTCTCTAACACCTTCCACAAGGCATCTTTGATGTCTTTGTTCTTCAAACTGTAAATGAGAGGGTTCAGCATGGGGATCACTAGTAAATAAAACACAGATGCTACCTTGTCCTTTCCAAATGAGTAGTTGGAGCTGATTTGCAGGTACATGAAAAAGGCTGTGCCAAACAACAGAGTCACCAACATCAGGTGTGAAGCACAGATGTTGGAAACGTTCCATCAGCTTTCCCAAGTGTATCTGTAAGACAGCAGCCACTATATAACTGTAGGAGATAAGAAGGATGAGAAATGATGCCCCTCCAACAGCTACCACTATGAGGAAATTCACCACTTGTCTGAAGACAGTGCTAGGGAGGTCGCAGAAGAAATGGTTGATGATGTTGGGTCCCTAGACATGGAGCCGAAATATGGAGGTGGCCTGGATCAGGGAGCTCAGGAAGTCACCAATATATGCCCCAACCACCATTCCGGTACATAGGCCCTGGGACATGACAGTGGTGTAGAGCAAGGGGCTGGAGATGGCTGCATATCAGTCATATACCATAGCAGTCAAGAGGAAGCACTCAGTTAGACCCATGCTGACAACAACAACAACAACAACAACAACAACAACAACAACTGAGCTGCATAGCCCACGAATGATGATCTGCTCTTGGAAGAAGTCGATGAGCACCTTGGGAGCCACTGCAGAAGAGTAGCGGATATCAATGAAGGACAAATTGCTGAGGAAGTAGTACATTGGTGTATGTAGATGGATGTCACTTTTGATCAGACAGGTGAGGGCCAGATTTCAGGCCAAGGTTATGAGATAGATACCCAGGAAGGTCACAACGAGGAGGACCTGCACTTCTGGATGATCTGCATGTCCCAGGAGGATGAACATGGTCACGGATGAGCTTATCCAGGCCTTGGCTATGGCCCTGTTTCTGAAGGACAACAAGGATAAGACACAGACTTGGAATAATAATAAGGATCCACTTTACAGGTGGTGTCAACAAATAGTGATAGTGACTCTATGTGCAACAGAATGAAATACTGTCCAGTCCTGGGCCATCCTCACAATTGTTGTCACGCTTGAGTCTATCTTCACAGCCACGGTGTCAGTCCATCTCATTTAGGGTCTTCCCTTTTTCTCTGACTCTTACTTTACCAAATATGTTATCCTTCCCAGAACTGGTCCCATCTGATGACATGGCCAAAAAGTATGAATAACAAAGTCTGGCCATTCTTGCTTCTAAGGAACATTCTGGCTGTATTTCCTTCAAGATAGATTTGTTGGTTCTTCTAGCAGTCCATGGTAGTTCAATATTCTTCACTAACACCACAACTCAAATGCATCAATTTTGCTGTGGACTTCTTTATTCATTGGCCATCTCTCATGTGTATATGAGGCTATTGAAAATACCGTAGCTTGGGGTCAGGCACACCTTACTCTTTAAAGTGATATCTTTGCTTTTCAACACTTTAAAGAGATCCTTTGAAGCAGATTTGCCCTATACAATGCATCATTTGATTTATTTACTGCTGTTTTAGTCTTTGATCTTCATCACTAAGTGCTCCAGGTGTTACTCACTTTCAGCAAACAATGCTGTGGGCCTCTCACAGGTTGTTAATGAGTCTTCCTTCAATCCTGATGCTGCATTCTTCTTGTAGTCCAGTTTCTCTGATTAATTGCTCAGCATACAGATTGAATAAGTATGGCGGAAGGATACAACTCTGACACTTTTCCTGATTTTAAACCTTACAGTCTTCTCTTGTTCCATTTGAATGACTGCTGTAAATTAGGACCCCTAAAGTTGCCACTAGGAGCTCTGGTAGTGTAGTGCCTAAGGCACTTGACTGCTAACCAGAAGGGTGGTGGTTCAAGCCCACCAGCCTCTCCTTGGAAGGAAGGTTGGGCAATCTACTTCTGTAGTGATACTGCCTCAGAAACCCCAGGAAAGTTCGCTATGAGTCAGGTGACCCAACGGCACATAACAACAAAATTGCCTCTATTTATTCTCTGATAATCTTTACTGTATTAGATTTTACATTTAGGTCTTTTATCCATCTTGAGGCAGTTTTTGTAAATGATGTGAATTATGGATCTTGTTTCACCTTTATGCAAATGGATAGCCAGGTTTTCCAGCACCCTTTGTTAAAGAGACTGTGTCTTCCTTATTTAATGGATTTCAGCCCTTTGCTGAAGATCAGTTGCCCAAAGATAGATAGATGGTTTTACTTCTGGGTTCTGAACTCTGTTCCATTGGTTTATGTGTCTGTCAGTGTACCAGTACCAGGCTGTTTTGACTACCGTGTCTGCAATAGGTTTTGGGATCAGAGAATATGAGGCCTCTTTGTTCTTCTTCACTGTACTTTGCTTACCTGGGGTATCTTTCCTTTCCTTATGAAGCTAAGATTGGTTGTTCTATGTCTTTAAAGAATGGTGATTGAATCTGTATTGAGATTTCATTATATTTATAGATTACTTTGAGTAGTATTGATATTAGGTCTTTCTGTCCATGAGTATATGTTCTTCCATTTATGTAGGTCTGTCTTAGAGTAGTATTTTGTACTTTTATTTGTATAAGTAATTTGTATCTCTGTTTGTTTTATTCCTAGGTATTTTATCTTTTTTGTAGCTACTGTATATGGTATTGTTTTCTTCATTTCCTTTTCAGAATTCTCTTTGTCAGTGTGGAGGAATCTGACTGATTTTTATATGTTGAACCTTTACCCTACCACATTGCTGAATCTTTAATTAATTCCAGTAGCTTTCTTGCCGAGTCTCTGGAATTTCCTATGTATAGGATCATATCACCATATCATGTGCAACCAAGGATAGTTTTATTTCTTCCTTACCAATTTGGATGCCATTTATTTCTCTTTTTTGCCTTATTTCCCTGGGTAGGACTTCCAATACAATGTTGAGTAGGAGTGGTGATAGAGGGCATCCTTGTCTGTTTCCTATTGGCATGTGGAATGCTTTAAATCTGTTTCCATTGAGAGTGTTGTTGGCCCTTGGTTTTGGATATATGTCCTTAATTATGTTGAGCAATTCTCTTTCTCTTCCTATTTTACTGACAGTTTTTATGAAGAATAAATAGTATTGGGTTTTATCAAATGCATTTTTATCAATTGATATGATCATATTGTTAGTTTTCTTAATTTTATTTATGTAGTGGATTATGTTGGCAATTTTTCTAATACTGAACCATCCTTGTATAGTTGGTATAAATCATACTTGTTTTTTCACATTGTGTTGGACTCTATTGGTTAAGATTTTGTTGAGGATTTTTGCATCTATGCTTATGAAGGATATTAGTCTGTAATTTTCTTTTTAAGTTGTGTCTTTTCCTGGTGTTGGTATCAGACTTATGTTTACTTCATAAAATGAGTTCAAGAATACTCCATATTTTTCTATGTGGTAGAATAGTTTGAGTAGTTGTTTGTGTAATCTCTTCCCTGAATGGTTGGTAGAATTCTCCAGTGATGCCATCTAGGCCAGGAAATTTTTTTCTTGGGTCAAAATAAGTTTTGGAGGAGGTTGCATTTGAGCTGCACTGTGCCAAGTCTTCAGGTTCCTGGGCATGCAAAGATGAGCAAGAAGGAATTTCAAAGGAGAAAACTATAATGTCAGCAGAATTGGAAATCATCTCTCTGTGTCCTTCTTTTTTTATTTAAAAAGTTTGTTGCAAAATTTTTATTTTTTTCTGAAATAGTATCACAGGCTTGAAAGGCAAAAGCCACAACTAGAATTCTTATTACATGGAACTGAAATTTTATCTTGCTCCTTTGAATGACAGGAACCCATAAGTACTTCCTTCATCCTTTCCAGAGATTTATTTGAACTGGTTCTTCCTGGTACAGACATGACTGGTGTGACAAAACTGTAATTTTTAATTACAGAGTGTACTGGAACAATAACAGGAATGGGGGGAATTACAGCAGATTGACACCTGCTAGAAACTTAATCTCAGCCCTAGAAAACAAAGGCAGTGTACACGTTGCTTAACAATCAAATCTCTTTACTGGCAGAGTTGGAAACAACCGTGCTTGGCTCAAAGAAGACTGCTGACAGCATTGCTTTGGATGTGTATTGATTTCCACAGTCCTAACAATAACCCAGTCTCCAAAGTCAGGCTTCTGAAAATGCTTACTATGTCTTTTCTGAGTCTCCCATATAGGGCTTTGAGCCATAGTTTTCTCTTTCCTGTTCCAGTCCATTGACATTTTACAAATATGGTTCTGTTTCTATTTTGCTGCTTCAGCCATGGTTGAACAAATTCCTACCTTTCTGATGCCCTGCTTCATTCACAGAAAATTGCCACACCTCCAATGTTCTTCATTCACAGAAAATTGCCACACCTCCAATATTCTTCTACATGATCAATGTTATCTGTAGAACATTATTTTCATTGGGTTATTCATGTTTGGTGAAATGAACATTTTTATGGCCAAATATGTGTGAGGAATATTGAGTTGATAAAGGTTAAATGAGCTATTTGTTACAGGCTTCTTCAGAGACTCTAACAAATAAATGTGCAATCACGAGTCTATAAATGATGGATGCCTTTTGCTGTGTTTTCCAAACAGTATCACCAACACTGTCTTTCTTCCTTGGTGTAGCTTATGAAATCTTTTAACCTGTTGAACCTATATTGGAAGATATTGCATTAGCTAAGACTCTGAAAACCAAGAGGATCATTTCAACACTGGTGGATATATTCTAAGTATTTCTCAATTCCTCATGCTCTTTGAGAACACAGTGTAGTTGTCACAAGTTAGTCACCAAAATCAAACCAAACTCACTGCCGTCCAAACATTTTTCCAACTCATAATGACCCTCCTTGGGTGTCTAACGCAGTATCTCTATGGAAGTAGATTGCCCAGTCTTCCTTCCAAGGAGTGGCTGTCATAAGTTAGTAGGCATTTATTTCCCCATACAATATTTTATTAATATTTACAAAAATCCATTGATGGGTATTATTGTTATTATTTCTGCTTACAGATAAGGAAACTGAAGCTCAAGGAGGTGAGATAACTTGTCCAAGTTCACACAGATAGTAATGGTAGACATGATATTTGACTTGAGAAGTTTTGTTCCACTCAACCAGTTTACTAGACTGTGTGCTATTAGTATCCTATGTAAGATTGGACAAAGCACTTCATTTCTCTGTAGTTCATTTAATTCATACTAAATTGATGATAATAAGATGTACTTTAACTGTGTCAATTAGTTATGGTGAGATTTCAAAAAGAACTGTAAAAGTCCATAAAAGATTCAGCATGATTATTCAAACATCCAAGTGGAGAAATAATCCTACCAGATGGCTTATTTTTAATTACAGAAAGTTTAAAGGCATAATTATTCAGTTGCCTGTTAGCCTTGCTTCATTATTTTTATCCTGTTCCTCTTGACATGTGTTTCAAAGGTTTGTAAGAATCAAACATGTTTTCTACACTTCAGAAATTACAGTAGGCTTCTTTGTATGAGGATTCTTCATTGAGTCTTCCCAGTTACCTTACCTTGTTACTTAGAATAAAACAAAAAACCAAATTCATTACCATTGAGTCTATTGTGACTCATAGCGACCTCCTTTGGGTAAATCTTTATGGAAGTGGCTTGCCCAATCTTCCATCTGTGGAGTGGCTGGTGGGTTTGAACTGCCAACTTTCTGGTTAACAGTGAAAATAAAAGCAAATTTGTGGTACAAAACTTTTTATTGTTAAATTATAGGCATAGTTATATGAGTTATAGTGATTAATGTTAGAAAAACAGCTGAGCAACATGATAGAAAGTCCCTTTGCAAATAAAGCACATGATTTTAAATACTCTACTCAGTGATACAAAGTTCATCTTTTGAGTCACATGGATTTGCAATTGCATTTGATTTTAGGAGTCAGGCTCTAATAAAAGTAAAAATCCTTAGGGAGAGAAGAGGAAGTTCCTCAGGGTGTTTGTGAAACTTGCTTTTGAATATAGAGTAGCTAAAGCATGGAAGAAATGAAATAAAAGAGTTATACACCAAAGTGAGATAGACTAGGAAGAAGTGCCTGGCAGTCTTCCCAAGTCAGTATGATCCACAGCCTACCATGGGAATAAAGCTAGACCAGGTAGCATTTCTGTTGTGCATTGGGTCCCCTTGAGCTGGGATGACGCTACCATAGCTAACAGCAGTGACAATAGTGTTGAATGGTCCTGAGGATATAAGGGAAATGACTGATGAGAAAAGAACGAGTTGTCCTTACCTTTAGGCTGGAAGTTTGAGAAAATTTGATTTCAAGTCTCAATCTGAATCTCTCATCCTGGTTTATTGCTTTCAGAAGACTGAAGTCTACTTTGAAGTTTCTTCATGGCTGACTTCATCTCTTTGTTTCTCAGTGTGTAGATCATGGGGTTCAGCATGGGGGTGATGACTGTGTTATTGATGGATATGGCTGTGTCCATGGGCAGCGTAATGAAGGGCCGACAGTAGATGTAAATGCAGGGCACAAAGTGGAGAGTCACCACCAGGATGTGGGAGGTGCAGGTGGAGATGGCCTTGTTCCACCCTTCCCCAGAGTGGGATCGCAGCATCACCAGAATAACAGTGTAGGACCCCAGGAGCAGGAGGAACCAGAGCAGGGTCAGCAGTCCATTATTGGAGATCATGAGAAGCTCCACAGTGAAAGTGTCAGTGCAGGCCAGTTTTACCACCTGGGGCACATCACAGTAGAAGGCATCCAGAATGTTGGGGCCACAGAAGGGGAGTGGGAGCATCAGAATTATCTGGACAATTGAATGCAGACCACCCCCCATCCAGGAAGCCACCACCAAGGTCACCCATACCTCTCTCCTCATAATGGTTACATAGTGGAGGGGTTTGGCAATTGCAAGATATCTGTCAAAGGCCATTATAGAGAGGGAGAAAACATCTGCCCCCCCAGCAAAGTGATAGAAAAAGATCTGTGCCAAGCAGCCATTGTAGGAGATGGTCCTCCTCTTTGATAGAAGATCCACCAGGAACTTGGGGACAGTGATGGATGAATAAACAATGTCCAGGACAGATTTGTTCCTCAGGAGAAAGTACATGGGAGTGTGGAGTCGGGACTCATAGGTGATGGTGACCACAATGAGGACATTGCCCAACACGGTTGTTATGTACACAAGGAGGAAGACCAGAAAGAAGAGAAACTCCAGCTCATGAAAGTGAGTTAGTTCTAGGAAGACAAACTCTTTCACATGAGTGTGGTTGCTCTGGCGCATGGTGGGAAAGACCCTGTTCTAGGTCTGCCTTGGGAGAAGAGATGTTAGCATTAGAAGTATTTTGTCATGAGGTAGCAACATCAATTATTTCATATTGTTATAAGGCTTTCTAAGCTTCCAGATTATCATGACTGCTCAAAAAAACTGGACCATAAGTTTCTCTTTCATGTACTGAAAACTCTTTTTCCTGATAACTCTTCTTTCCTATTGGAAACCCCCTGGGTTGACAGGAGGAACCATCACACTGAAAGATTCTAGGTTATTATTCAGACTAGTGGATGTTAGGAGATGATCCATTTTGACAATGATGTATCTTTTGTTCTGTAAGTGTAACTTCTTCATATGCATACAGAACTTTACACTTCATCTAAGGCTTTGATCAACAACATCTTACCTTGATATTGATTCTCATGATGTCTCTCTGAAGTCTATAGAGTAGTTATGACCATCGTTTTTTATATACTTGGAAACGGAAATTTAGAGCTTTTAATGACTTGCTACAGTTACATAATTGAAGAATTAATAAATGGCAAATCAAGAATTTGAATGCAAATTGGTTTTCTTATACTAGAGGTCTTTCAACTGCACCACTCTGCCAGATGAGAGAGTCACAGGCGTTTACTTTGACCATGTGGCACTTTATAGGAATTATTGGATAGGTAAGGCCTAAGTAGGGAACCTGGCTAAACTAAGCAGTTGGCAGTTCGAATGCAGCAGCAGCTCAGAGATGAAAGACCTAGTGAACTGCTTCCATAAAGATGATAGCCTAGAAAAGCCTGTGGAGCTGTTCCACTCCATAACACAGGAGGTCGCCATGAGCTGAATTGACTTGACAGCAGTTGGTTTGTTTGTTTGGTTTTGCTAAGGCCTAAATAGTTAATTGGGAGCTCTGGTAGCATAGTGGCTAAGACACTTGCCTGCTAACCAGACGGCTGGCGGTTCAAACCCACCAGCCACTCCTCGGAAGGAAGGTTGGGCAATCCTACTTCCGTAGTGATACTGCCTCGGAAACCCAAGGAGGGGTCGCTATGAGTCGGGGCCGACTCGACGGCACATAACAACAACAACAAATAGTTAATTAAGTACCTGACTAGTTGATCTTGGCCTCCTCCCTTAAAGTAGGAGAAGAACCAGGACCTCAGAACCACTTCTCCTGGGAACTCTGGGACTACTGGACCTTACCCGGGCACACAGGAATCCCGATAGTAGAAGTTCAGGGAACATGAAATATCACAGGATACTGACCATTAAACATTCCTGGGACCTTAGAGGTGACTTAGCCCAATTCTTCTCATTTTAGGGGTGAATAGAGAAGGACATTTCCTTTTTCATGGTCAGACTATAAATTACTGGAGCATAACGATTTCAATGAAGATTATTGACTTGAAGTCCAATAATTTTCTACTGTTGTTATGGCAAAATACCTATTCTGGAACCAACTATCAGGCCACCAATGGGCAAAACTCTTTACAATCAGAATATCTTTATATTCTGAATGCTTTAATACTCTAGATAATAAAAAAATTCAAATAGATAAGGTCACCAAAATTTAATTCAGCAATAGAAAGTTGACATTGAAGCAAAGGAATTATGTCTGAAGAAAATAGGTAAGAAAGAAAGAGTATGCTAGGTGAATATAGCATAGAAGAGTTTCCTTCAAATAGCATAATAAAGCATGTCATAGCTAACTTATTTCTGCATATTAATCTTTTCATTCTGCCAAGTTTGAATGTATCTTAAGGTTTAATTTGAGGGGTTAGGATATACAGATAGGCTCTGAAAGAAAAATTTTCTGATAATCTTCTTAGATCCCTCATATGTGCATGATTAATTTCATTGCTGTAGTAAAGTATGTTACTTCTTTAAGGATTCTGGTAATATGAATCCAATAGGTATCCTACTGTACTATGCTGCCCTCAGCAGCACATTGCCTAGAACTGGTATTCTGGAATTTTTCCTAACACCTAGCAAATAGCAGAAAGTTAGGTGAATGGTATAATATATTCAGAATTACAATACTGCTTTCTATTAAGGGAGTGCAAAAGGATAAAATTCTATCTTAGGGTTGAATTGAGAATGGAATCTAATAAAAATGGACCCCATCTGAGCCATTTGTCCTAGAGGCAATTCCAAGAAGAGCTCCTCTGGGAAACCAACAAGATTCCACCTCATAGACAATGAGGGATATGTAACTTATTGGCCTCTTTGTTTTGGCTTCCAATTCCCTCAAAAGCATACATATAACTTAATTTTCAACTCCATATTTTTTACAACTGTAGTCTCTCACCAGTTTTTTTAATCTATATTGTTTCATTTTATTATTATTATTATTTATTGTTGTTACATGGTCTCCCTAACTTGTTGAGGAATGTGATGGAGAATACATTAATTACTAAGGTAGATACAAGTTTAATTACACGAGTATCAAGCAGGCAGAGAATGAGTCATTGTTCATGAAGGCTAGGTTGGAAAGTGCACTAACCAGGAGAGCAGAGCAATCTTCTGAGACTGGGTTTGAGAGAGGGTGGATGGAAATCAGAGGTGAGTAGTAGTCATTGAGCCTAAGGCTTATGCTCAGGACCATACTCTTGAGGGGGATGTCAATGTCAATTGACATAGCATAGGCCACGAAGATAAAAGTCTACATCCTACTTTGGTGAGTAGCTATTGGAGTCTTGAAAGCTTGTGAGTGGCCATCTAAGGTGCAACCATTGTTCTCTCCCTGTATGGAGCAAAGAAGAGTGAAGAAAATCTAAGACACATGTAAACAGTTAGACCAAGGACTAAAAGACCACATAAACCCCAGCATCAATCACCTCGAGAAGAAGATA